TTCATACTATCATTTTAATTTCTGCAGAAAAATATTTGAGTAAAATGTACAATAATGTTGGATGAGACTGGGGGGGGGGGGGGGAAGCTAGTCTTAAAATGATAAAAATCCTTACAAAGTCAACCGTAAAAGACAGGCCTGTAGAACGCGTGGTTGGGGGGTGCCCCCTCCCACTTTTTTCTGAGCACCCTGTTTAGTATGAAATACACATTAAAAGGCTGACCCCCTCCACTTTTTGTTGCACTATAGTCAAATCGTCGAAAAAGTTGCCCAACCCAACCCAATCCCCCATCACCACCACAAAAGGAGATTTTGGAGATTTTTTTTTTATTTTAATTTATTCATATTATTATTATTATTAATATTATTATTATTATTATTTTTTTTTTTTTGCTTGTCAAAGGTTTTTTTTTCAGGTAAAGTGTCAATTATTTTTTAGATGCTACGTGCCTGAACTGAAAGACACTCTCAGAAAAGGGGATACCCCCCCCCCCCCCCGCTCCACGTGTGTGTATATTTGTTAATTTGTGTTCTGGTTAGATGGTTTCATGTCGTGTTCTAAATCATTTTCGTACACCAAATTACCCAGTTAAGTTTTTAGATAATCAGCAATCAAACTTATTAAAAGTGATTTCTTTTTTTTTACCCAGTCGCGCAAATACAGTGCTACCTCGGTATATTGCCAGCTTTTGTCCAAGGCAGATTTTGGCATTATAGCGAGGGTGGCAATATAACAAATTCTGGCATAAATTACAATTCAGTGGGTAATCAAAGCAAAAAAATAGTTACTTTACGTAATTCATTTCAGTTACAGTCTGTTAATGTCATGCTTGTGCACATACATATAAGGGAAGCTCTCGTTTCTTTTTGAAAAAGAGGTCATTATTTTTTTGGTTTACAATATTTTTACTGAAAAGAAACAAAATGTCAGAATATTGAATATCTGTCAATTCCCTGCTCTTTCGCCATGCTCTAAGAATTTAATAACCTGATAACAAAGATGTCAGTAGCCGCTAAGCCTCTCGGTATTAAAAAAGTTTTGAGAATTATTATTAATCTCATCTGAATCGAAAGTATATTTTTTTCACCGTCTCAAGAATTTCTGAATCAGTTAAAAAGTTCGGTTGGTAAAGCGTCATGACGAATGGCAAGTCACGTGTCAGAGTACGTCAACCTGTTGTAATAAACATGCATTCTTATGTTTGCTGGTACCTGTGTACTTCTCTTCCGATTCTGTTTTGATATTTATCAATCAACCCAATCTGTGCCCAACAATTTATGAAAAATTCAGGGGTAACAGATGCCTTTATATTTTCACGTGCGGAATTATAGTAGTCTAAAAATAGAGGTGGGATTTCCTTTTGATCAATAGAATGGCTTCTTAATCTAAGGGGACACAAATGAATATTTGCATTTATTATGGTTTGGTGCATTATCCATGATAAGCAATAATCGGCGATTTACAATCAAATAGATCGAATGTTGATCAATCAATTTTTTTTTCTCGTAATCCAAATTTGTACGCTTTCTCTTGCCTGACATTTCCATTACTGTGATGAAATAATTCTTCTATCTTAGAAAAACACGTCAAAGACATTGCTAATTTTGAGTTTTATTCACCAATTATTTTTAATTTAGCTGAATTCCTTGTCCAGCCCGTTACGCTCCACCGTAACCACTGTCAAAGCACGGGTGTGTTGTCCAAATTACCGACCCGCTCTAGGTAATTGGCGTTGTTCTCGAGGGTTTTCCTTATATAATTTGACCTTTTGTTTCCCAAAACCAGTGGCGGATGGCAATAAGCAGGGGTGGCAATATAACGGGTGTATTAACAAAAGGGGGAAATCCGTTCTTCGAGAATTCTTGGCAATAAGCGAGGGTGGCATTATAACAGAGGGCAATATACCAAGGTAGCACTGTACTAATTCCCTTTTTCACTTTTGATATTTTCCCTGACCAAAATCTGATCAGCACGGATTAAGTGTATTTGAGTGCTAGGCTGTACGATGAAGTGACAACGTGTTTACTGTTGAGTATTTATGGAGTTTATTACTTTTTTGTGATGCATATTTCAATAAATGGAATACAAGGTGTAAATCACTCGGCATGTGCACATCTTTGAATGGGTACAGTGGTCTATTTCCAGGTATGAATAAGTTTACACGCGTTCGACGTGTTCTCTCGATATGCATCAATTGTATTTGAATGCATGTGGGCATGCATGGCAAATACCAGAATACGCTGGTTGGTTGTTTGTTCCGTTTTTACAATAGATTATTGCAAATTGTTTGTACGAGTTTTACTGTGAATTATTTTCAAGTTTAGTATGCATATACTGGTATGCTTTAAAAAAAAAAACACGCGCAACTACGGTTTTTCTTCCAAACTTGCAATTACAAAAGTATATTATTCAAAACGATAATTATTCATAAATATCTTTATGACTGTCTTTATCTGTTATGGTTTTAAAATGTTTTCATCAATTCATGTGTTCCCAAATACTTTACTATCGGAGATGTGCACACCTCGATAGCCAAACCAAAAATTCACTCAAGTGTAACGAGGGCACTGGGGTATATATCGTTACAATAAGACAAGGTATCTGAAAGAAATATGGCGGAATACGGCCACTTGGTATAAAACAAGTCGTACATTGATGCAAATGATGTGTTTTTAAGAATTCATGTAAGCTTTAAGCTTCGTCACGGGACATTGGTTTTCATCGGTGATAAGTGAATTTCTTTCGAGAATTGTTGAGAAGACCTATTGGTTATAATAATTTGAAAATATCATAATATTCCATCATGTACTTTTTTAATAAATGCATTTATTAGAGTGAACACTTAGAAGTTTTGTTAAGTGTATATAGTATACTAGCCTGTTACTCGTTAGCATTGCTTAAACATTTACATAATATAAAGCAGAAATCAATGATCGTTTTGTCTACGTTGTTCAAAGGGACATAATTTGAGTTATCGAACATTGAAACAAAACTTACATTATGCAAATTTCCAAATAAACATTCGATCACAAGGACAAATTGTATATAAAAGCTGTCTTTGCAGGGTGGATGGTGGGGAATATTTCTAATACATTGACAACTAAAATAATTGTGCTTGTATAAATACCAGTGGAATTGCAACATACTGCACTCTGCTGCAATATAATGCGATACATTGTGATGCCTGCCAAATGGTACAATCAAAATTAACTTAGTCATTGTTTTTTCTCTTAATTGAATTTAAAAACTGATTGAATACACACTTTTTTTTCCATTTTATGCTTTGAAAAAAAAAGGTTTCAAAAACAGACTAGAGAGCCTAGACTAGACTAGAGATTTTTTTTGTTTGCAAGGGAATTTATACTGTTTACCATAATAAGAATTTAACTGCATTTTATTGCACTGCACTGCAATGCAATGTCAATCAATGAAGTCCATTTTTGTTTTACATTATGGTATTGAAAATAAGGTGTCAATTAACATATTTTCTAATATATTTTTATTTTTTTGAAAAAAAAAGACTGGATGGAATATTTTCATTCACATTTTCTTATATGATTGTTCTCTTTCATACGAATCTAAATTAACAATGCAGTAATAATGGCGAAGGATTTTTCGACAATTTTTTTTTTATTGCTGTTTATTATTTTATGCAATGCCTAGTTTGGGTATATGAAAGATTGAAAAAGAGAGAAATCTCGTGTTTGACTGATGAGTGTAAATTTTGGGAGTGATGCAGATAAGCACCGGGAAGGATAAACAGAATATATTCTGATAACAGTACTTATAGCGAAGTTCTCATCAAAGAACACTTTTGTTGATTTTTTTTTTTTTTGAAAGACTGATATGGATATGTGCGAAACATCCCGAGGAAAATTGGACTGTCGAGTGAAGTTCTTTAATTGCAAGTTAATTAATTTTGCTTTTAAATAAAAATATAACTGTCCTACAATACAATGTAATGCTTGATGTACTGTCTAATTAAAACATACTTGGTCAATTTTTATCATTAGGCAAAACAGTGAAAAAAATATAAACTTTCCTGTTTGACTGATGAGTGAATATTTTGAGACTCAATCAAAGCGCTGAAAAAAATGTGTTTCCAGAATTTTCTGAAAGATTTTTAAGATTTTAAACAGAACAATCTACTTTTAAAGTTCCAATTTTCGCCGTAAATGATCATAAAAGGGAAGATTAATTTTAGTAATTAAAATTAATCTTCCCTTTTATGATCATTTACTTAAAAGTAGATTGTTCTGTTTAAAATCTTAAAAATCTTTCAGAAAATTCTGGAAACACATTTTTTTAGGACATGTTTTTGAAAGAAACAGATTACAGCAATTTCCTTGTTACTGCCAATTTTATTTATAAAACCTGTTCTACCCTATAACCTTAGAATGGGTCAACCTACACCACGTGTCTTGAATTTAAATCACAATAACATTAGTAGGGGTGCAGCATGTGAAATGAAAAAGTTATGACGTCTGGCTTGTACAAACTCATAAAAAAATTATTATACTGTGATAAATATTCTATATACAAAAAGAATCCTCTATACACACATTAAAGAATAAGCAATCAAATCTTTATATCCATACCGGCATTTTTTATTTCCTTCAATTTGCATGTATACATTTAATAATTCTACAAATCAAGGGGGGGGGGGGTCCGACCCCCCCTCCCGCCCCCGAGGCCGAACTACTCATGCTCTTCTTTTTTCCCCTAAGCGGGGGACACAAATTCTCTGAATTAGCTTGTAGGTATTTGATTTCCATGGGCGGTGTTGCAAAGGTTGCAAAAACACAATAATCATCTATTTTTTCCCCAAAATGCTATAAATAATTTCTACCATAGGTTCAGACCGATTTCAATCTTAACTTGTTTCACTAATACATTAGATCAGGATACACAATTCCGGATTAATTAATTCAACTTTGATGAATGCTGTTACCATATGTTATTACATGTTTATTAACATTATAAACATTTTACTTTTCAGACATTTTTGCCCATGAACAAAGACTACATAATGATCTCATGAAAAACTACCTCACAGCAGTTCGACCAACCACAGATCTCAGTACACCAATCCATGTTCAACTCATGTACGACCTAATTAGAGTTGATGAACTAGTAAGTACATGTATACAGATTGAACTATATAAGGCACCATTTTTTCCTTTCTTTTATATGTATTTGCAGAAAAAAATTCTGATACCAGAGAATATATATATATATATATATATATATATATATATATATATATATATATATATATATATATATATATATATATATATATATATATATATATATATATATATATATATATTCTCTGGTATCAGAAAATCTTTCTTTGATACAAAAATTTTATTTCTGGTATTAAAAAGACATGTTTAAAATCAAAGTCTGTTGGACAATTTTAACTTTAGGCCAAAAAAATCATTTCAATATTATTCAAAAGTAATACACAGAAAATGTACTGGTAAACCGTTTATCACCATTACATTCTTCGATAATTTATCTACACAACCATGTATGACATGCACTTATCTCCGTAAACAGCGTCAAAACATGAAGTGATATGTACTAATCTCGGACAGAGAGCAAACTTTAAATATTAATGGGTTTAAAAATACAATTCCAGCTGTGTTTAAATATATTCCAGCAAATAAATCAGATTTCTTTATGTTTTATTTTCCATGAAAAAAAATATTTTACCGATGTAATTTTAAAAACATAGTTCTTTTTAGCCAATCAAAATCCATGAACCTATTCCGCTAGAGATAAGTACGTACCACTTTATAGTGTGAGGCGAATTTTCCAGTCTGCGAGCAGTGGTATGAGACGAATTTTCCAATCGACGAACAGAGTTTTGACGCTGTTTACAGAGATAAATGAAAATTAAAATAAGCATGGCATACATGATTGTATAGATAAATCGTTGACTTATTGTAGAAGAGAATGGTAATAAACAGTTTGTCTCTGTTTTCTCTGAAAGCGTAAATGACTGGGATTTTGCGGAGGGGTGTAATTGAGAGTTAGATATACCATGTGTAATTATTATACTATGGGTTAAAAATTTATTATCCCAGGCAAGAATCCGACTTTGGGCATGCTTTCTTTGTTTAAACCAAACATTTCCTTGTTTAAACCAAACATTCATTTCTGTTTTGTTTCTATATTTATGGAATGTTTTTAAGTTTTGTGTGAGTTATTGGTGTGTAAATCACACAGACTTGTCCCGTAGGCGTATTTCATGAAGCGCGCTAGCGCTTCATGAAAAATATGCCTACGTGCAAGTCTGTGTGATTTACACACCAATAATTCAAACTAAGCTTTAAAACATTCCTTATATTTACATTTTACATGTTCAATAGCATTCAATGTTTGAATTATTCGCTGCCCTATATCGTGACATTTTCATTAACGTCTCTGCATCTCATTGTGACGCCACTTTAGCGCGAGTTTCTCCGTGCATATTTCTACGCGTGAGTATACACGAAAATAATTCCAATCTTAATTTTATTTATTGATTTCCTGTGTTTTGATTGGACGAGAGCAAATTCAAGAAAAAGATTACACATCGATAAATTCTCAATCAGAACTATACTTTCTTGACCTAGCTTTTATTGTAAAAAAAAAATGAAACAAATCGTTACTTCTATTCTGTGTTTTAGCTAAACAATTACAGACACTTGAAATTAAATAAAAACAAAACTGAGGACATACAGGACTGACAGACGGGAATATTATGTTTATGATCACCAGTGTGAATTTTAAATCTCTGAAGTTATATTCTCGACGTTCCTAATAGGCCTACAAAACAAATCAGCTCAGTTCTCGGTAGCGCTGTGATAGGAAAGAGAAACGTACCTTAGACTCTTGCCTTACCAATCTCCTATGCAGAGTTGCCGTTCGTTCCTCTCTCAGACACCTCTGCAATGGGCTCGCGTCAAAATTTTTGACATAAAGTAGAAAACATGATATTCCAAGGATTATTTCAAATTATACTAGTAGTTCTATATCTATTTAGGAAATATCTACCTTAAAAACAAACATTAGCGCAGGGAATTATTTATAATGAATTAAAACAAACGCACTATTTCTTGTGCTTAACACTGTGATATACGCGAGCCAACGACAGAGGTGAATGTATGAGCCGATGGTAGAAAGTGTTGCCTTACTAGCATCAAATTCATTTTTCTACATCCTATATTCTGTCCCGTCTTTGGTTGTTGTCGGTCTGCTACTTTCGTTTTAGAGCGTATGTCGATATATTGTCAACATGGTCAAGGACGAATTATTTTGAAGTCTACTTGTATTTACGATATTTGTTGACTTAAACAATGTTCGAAGAGTTTTTATAAGCTTATTTTATAAAATGTTTTGACAATTTAAGTTGAACTTTATCGACGTTCATCTCGATTGCGATTCATTTCCACATCGCGGCATAAAGTATTCCTACGCTGTACAGAAATACCAGATTGTATGGAGGCTTCAAAGAGACTGAAATAATTTTAAAACTTCGTGATTAGAATTATAAGAATCAAACGTTCTTTTTTTCAGAATTTATCGATGTGTAAACTCATGTCTTTGTACTCACAAACTTTACATGAATGTGCTTCGCCTTTTTATCCAGTTTGTGCGTACAAAGGCATGAGTTTACACATCGATAAATTCTGAAAAAAGAACGTTTAATCCTATAATGACTTTCAAATCAATTTCACAGTTGGCTTAGTAGAAAAACACAGCAAATGTAAATATATATACATAAAATTCGCAATTTTGGAAGGGGCACCCTTCCTGATCATTACTATGCATTTAGTTTGTTTGCTTAATACCAAGGGGCAGAGTAGACGATTTTCAAAGCATTAAATTAAATGCATTTTCACTAAATAATCATTAAAGCTCCTCCCTCCCCCACCGGAACCCCTGATCCAGGAGACATATCTTTCACTTGCCGTTGGAGGGTTGCAAATTTAGATCTGTTCTTGGCACTTACGGCCTTTGAGCAGTGAGGGTCTTTTTCGTGTCAGCACCTACTGCGACATGGGACGTCGGATTGTATGGTCTCATCCGAAAAGGACTGGTCTCCACGTCACACAATGGATTCGAACCAGCGATTAAGGATCAACTCCTTACTATGCGACTCTAGAGCAAGTGTTCCAACTACTGCGCCACACAGGCGATTATACTAAAGTTGTGCAAGTTACTGAAGAGTTTTTCTTTTGTAGTTTTTACACAATAAAACTCCAGTCGGCTCCCTAAGTTTTGTTTCTCGCCGGTTTGTCTTATTTGCTAAATAGCTGTTTTACGCAAAATACGCTTTTTAGAAATCGAAGTACATGTATAAGTATACTAATTTCCCGTTGATTCTGGATAGCATGAACAGTCACTAAATACCTGTCAGGAGCGATTCCTCCGTGACGGTAGGATTATAATTTACATGTACGTTTCTTTATAAAACACGGGTTGGCGGAGGATGCCCTCTCATTTAAAGGCGGGGTGGGGAGGGGGGATCTAGTCAAGCAAGTTTGATTTTAACGAATTAACAGTCGAGTAAACCTTTCGAAAAGAAAAACTTTATTTTTTTTTTCATAAACAAGCTTGTCCTTTACATTGGTGAAACCATAGTATTTTTTTTACATCTCTAGGATGCAGCAAAGGAAACGATTACCACCACATTTTTGTTCGAACAGGTAAGCTTAGAATATACATGTAGTAAATACGTCAATTTTGAATGCATGATGTACCGGCAAATTCCGTCCTAGCTTCTTCAAACAAAGACTGATATATGTAAGAAGTTCATTTCATTTCTAGATCTGGAAAGATCCTCGTTTGACATGGAACACTACAGAATATGGAGGCATTAAATCCATACGATTTCCATACAACAGTGTTTGGCATCCAGATATAGAAATTGAGAACTTGTAAGTGGTTGATAAATACTTACATTTATTATTTCTTCGTATATGATTCATGGATGCATATACACAGCATAGACAGTTACTAAATACATGATTAATAATAGTTTCAAGAATATATCTGCTGAGTTGAATTAAAGATTTGAAAAACGGAGGGGGGGAGGGGGATTGCACCCAATCATCGGGTACCGACCACAATTTAGAACCTAGGGTTACTCCCTTTTCACAGTATACTCCCACTGAATATGAAATATCAGCTATTCCAATCAGTTACTTATTTTCAGGGCGCCGGGGCCATCTTGGTCATCTGAAGCTTCCGTATACATCAGCTATGACGGCACTGCCATTTACGTGCCCCACAAAACAGTGTCCACTTACTGCTCAATGAATTTAGCGCTGTTCCCATATGATACCCAGACATGCTCTTTAACTTTTGTTCCGTGGACTCACAATGCGCTTGAAATGAGATTGGGACTGTATGGTCATTACTATAATACGACAAAAAAGTTGGAAATCAATGTAGAAAATTACCTCACTTTTCAGTGGAAAATTTTAAAAGCAACGGCCTCCATCAACAGTAGGAAGTATTCTTGCTGTCCAGAGGAGTATCAGAGGTTTGTGGTGACGATAACGACGATGAGGAAGACTAGCTTTTATCGTTACGTCGTCACCTGGCCCTCCATTATTGCCTGTTTTCTGGTTCCGTTTCTCTTTGCTATACCTTCACATTCCGCTCAGAAAATTACATTTGGTAAGAAGTGAAGCAATTTTGATTGCGGCATTGTTTTTCTTTACATGCACTTTTGGACAATATCAAGGCTAGAATCAAGGCTGTAATATTATGAATGTTTCACCGCATGAATTTACTATTTTAGGGCTTAATGTCTTTGTCTAAATATTAAATTATGACCGTGATAAACTATTTACTTGTATACCAATTAGTCTGTAGTACCATGAAAACGAATTCAAGTTAAAAAGTGTTTACCTAATATTAGGTGTTATACGTTTGAAATAACTTCTATATTGCAGGTCTTGGACTTATGATTTTTGAGTCATTGATCGTTTTGGTCTTCGTTGAGACAAATACATTTGATCACACTACAGTTCCGAACCTTGGTTAGTTATGAAATTCTATGAAGGTTTTTGCTCAAGCCCCTTTTAAAAGCTAAAACCCGATTCATTCCTAAAGTTAAAGCGCTTATGTTCTGGATAAGAAAGATCAAATTATACCTTAATGAACTTTAAAATTTTAAAATATGCATGTACATAACTATCAAATTTTTTATTTATTTCAGCCATTTTCCACTTGATCATTTTGATTTTAACATCAATAAGTCTCCTGTTGTCCATATTCATTGTCTCGCTATGTGATGACAGTGGAAGAAGGACACGCGTACCAGCTTGGTTACAAAGAGTAAGTTTTGCAAGAAAAGTTGGTGCACCGTTCTTCTTAAGAAAATACTCTTTCCTTAACTGATTTCTTTTCTTTTTAATTTGCAATTTTTAGTCCACTACCGGTGAAACCGGAGGGGACTATAGGTTTCCTCTGAGTCTGTCTGTCCGTCAGTTTGTCCCACTTGGTTTTCCGCACTTTTTTTCTAAACGCTTGCAGATATTGAGCTGATTTTTGGTATGTGAGTGTATCTTGATGAGTTACAGATCAAGTTTGCATTTCGTTCTGCTTCAATGATTTTTGACGCAATTAGGACCTTTTCAATTTTTCAGGGTTTTCCGCAATTCTTTTTCTAAACGCTTGCAGATATTGAGCTGATTTTTGTTATGTGACTTTACCTTGAAGTGTTATAGATCAAGTTTGCATTTCGTTCCGCTTCATTGATTTTTGACGGAATTATGGCATTTTCAATTTTTAACGGGAACCAGATTACACTTGCCGGCAGGGAACTAGTATTGCTAATGCAATACTCTCAGAATGCTTGTTTGTTTTTTTAATTTGCAAACATACATGTATATGTAAAGTACAAAAATGTACAAAATTTTATTTAAAGCTTGCCTTGAATGATACTTGCTTGAGGAGGATACTTTGTCTTGGAAAATATGGAAAGTCCATCAGGTATTCTAACGGAGGTGGGGGTCTTTTAGAAGACCAGGGGATACATGAACTTTCACATGATGCCCCTGAAATGCACACTGTGTCCAATAACGATACGATGAGGGATTTATCGGAGTCCATTCGCACAATCTCCGACAAGATGATCTCCGAGGAGACTTCTGCTAGGATTATACAAGACTGGCGAGAGATCGGGAGATTGGTGGATCGAGTTCTTGGTTTTCTCTGTGTTGTGACTGTGTTTAGTTTATTAATGTGGTCAATTACGTCTTCCATCTGGTTAAAATAATGACAAGAATGCTTTTTTTTTAAAGTTACACTAACATTTTATATTTGTAAACAGTGATACAGTACAGTTCTACTGGATTTATAAACTCGCGCCCTGCACATTTGACAGAATGTGACGTCTCGGCACCTGTTAGCACGGAGAGGCCGATAAATTTCACGGAATGGAATTGATGCAATATGCGTGCCTTCAACCAAAAGGTGATACGTCATATTTTGTCAGTCAGTCAAAGCTCTTGGTGCCTATCTTGAATCCAAATACGTATATCATAAAGAACTATACACAATATATTTTCCGTATGTGAAATATTGTAGATCGAATTTTTTTTAACAGTTTCACTCAATCGACTGTTACAATATATTATAATAATTAACTAAAAAAATACACATGTAATTGTAATACTGTATCCATAAAAACTAATGTTAGAAAGTAATTAAAAGCTGCATGTAACAACACACTATTTCTGTGATTTGTTTGATCTTCTGTCTATTGCAGCATACAGGCACTTGGGGGCTGGACCCCCCCCCCCCTCCCCCTTTCCATTTTTGTTTTAAATCTGGGGTTGACACACCTTTTCCCTATTTTTGTATTCTAATATGATATTGATAATGTAACCCTTATTTCTCAATAAGATGTTTTTATTGTTTTCGACTGATACCGTATATGGGGGAGGGGTTGCTTGGTGACTATCTGTGCCTTGGAGAATGACCATGTTAATTATGCAGAAAATCATACCCTGGGAGCATTTTTACTACTATGTATATAGCAAAATTTATGAGGTACTTTAACTAGGTAATACAGTAAACATTATCATGGGGAGGGGGGGGGGAGGGGGGTTGTCTTTCTTTTAAGTTCCTATTTTAAGTCACATTTTATGCTTTTAAATCAGTCTTGTCCAATGTGGAAAAAGAAATATGAAAAACAAATTTCATAGAGAGTAAAATTTATTTAATATACTTCAATATTTCCAGCATTTTATGCTGAAAAGAAAATAATGTATACCTTTAATTAAATCATAATTTTCAGCATGACTTTGTGCTTTTTCTTTATGATAAAAATCATATTTTAACAAAGTTTCTATGTATAGGCAATTAAAAAAACTCACATACAGTGTAAAATAATAAAGTCTGAATTCATGCTTACTATGAACTCTTTTTCTTCTTTCTAAGCACAAGAAAATGATAATTATAGTTAACTGGATATAATGAACTATTTATATAACAAAACATTTCAGTCATCCTTTAAAAGAAAATGTTACAGTATTTACTGTCCCACTACAGGTACATACTCATACTATGCACACTGTACATCAAATGTCGCTAATCCCTGGCCAGATACCACAACAGTAAATCTATTCCTGTAAGAAATAATTAACTATTAAACAATTTTTTAAAAAAGTTTTAATGAGAGACCCATAGGCCACAATGCTCACCTTGAATCCATTCTCTTTCTGACAGATAAATATGTAGGAGAATGAAACCCTCTATTGTATTCAGCAAATCAAAGTCCATGAATTCAACATTTAAAATTTGGTGAATTTACAGATTACTTAGGCATTACATCATGTTTATAACTATACCTTGAACTTCTTATGGAGACTTACATGTGTTGATCGATGAAAACCTTTTTTACTACATTGTGGTCGCACCAGTCCCTCATAGCATCATTAAAAAAGAATCTACATTACATGAGGAAGCTTATTGCAATTACTACTGGTGCCTGGTGGCCCTGCTGATTTTGAAAAAAAAAAGTTGTTTTTTTTCCCAATAAGTTCTGAAGTAATATTTTGATTCCACCTCTACCTCCTTACTATTGTCCAATCCTTACAGAGGAACTATAATTTGAACAGAAATGACACAACATGGAAATGCTTATTGATATTACTTAACTGAACTAATTAAAAAGTGTTTGCCTATTTTCAAAACTTAAAATTTTCACCCACTACTAGGGGCTATGATTTGAAAAAAAAAATACACTTCACTAAGATGCTTGCATATAAATCATAACTGCATTTGTTCCTGATTCTCTTTGAAATATTTTAAAAGGTTTTTTTCTTTTATATTTTGCCCCCCCCCCCCTCCTATTTTGGTCCCCATCTTTGCTCCAGAAGCCACAATTTGAACAAACTTGAATCAACACTACATGGAAATGCATTAAGTTTAAGAATTAACAACTGTACCTTGATGGAATCTTAACTACTTCTCATTCTTAGGAGAGTCATCATGTGTGATCTAGACAATATGTAATCATTTCTGAACTAAAATTCAAAACATTTGTTTTTACTTACTTGTCAACTTTCCAGACATCTATGTTTGATATATCAGCCACACACACAAACTTACAACTAAGTTGCTGTACCTGGAGTTAAAGTTAAACAAGTCAATGAAAATTAAAAAATAATATTATGTAGACACCAACATGAAATAGAATTTTAAACCTAAAAAATATGCAAATATTGTACAAACTTGACAAAAACAATTTCAATGCAATATTGGATAAGATTTAAATTTCAGAAATTCGATTCTTTGAAAAAGAAAGTTAATTCAGGGAATTATGTCTTGCACTTAAGAACAAAATAAGTGAGTGGAAGACCTAAAATAATGAAGATGCAGATAGAGAAAAAAAAAAGAATGATTGACTTTTCACCTTTTGGCCTCAAAATGGATTGAGGTCTTTCATAAGTTTGAGAGAGTCATAAAAATAAGATTCATTGCAAAAGCTAAAACAGAAGTAAAGTTATCATCTGGGAAAAAATATGTGAAACAAATGGAAATATGACCTTTAACTTTGACCTTTTGACCTCAAAATCTTTTGGGGGATCTTTTTGATGTCATGCAGAATTAATATATAAAATTTCATAACAAAATCTAAAAGAAAACTAAAATTATTGTCAGGAAATTTTTTTATTTGATATATTATGAATTTCTGACCTTGATCAGTGGAGGTTTTTTTTAAGTTATGGAGAGTAAATATATAAGTTTGAAAATCTCACAGAGAACTAAAGAAATTTTATGAAATATGATTTTGTGACCTTGACCTTTGGGTCCCAATATCAAAAGGGGTCAAGGAGAGTAAAGATAAAAATTTAAGAGGACTTAAGTTATCATCTGGAAACCATTCTACGCAGTACATGAATTTCTCACCTTAAAATCAATTCAGATCTTCTTTACATCATGTGGAGTTACGAAGTTAAGTTTTATTGAAAAAGCTTAAGCAATTAGCACTCTGAGAATCACCCAGAAACGAAAGTGTTACATACAGAATTACAGTGAGACACAGAGGAACAGCTAGACAAACAGAAAGACATAGATAAATGGCCCCTGCTTTTGGGGGGGGGGGGTAAAGAATGGACTATATACACGTACCTGTATATCATCATTTGTAATCCTGATATCCCATAGTATAAGCCTCTGATCAATGGACACTGACAACAGCTTACTGGGTGACAGAAACTTTACACCTAAAATTTTTAATATTGAAAATCATATCTCTGGGAAGAAATTGAATGAAAATTCAATTGAATTACAGAGTAACCCTAGGCTGGAACAAGTTAGATATAAAATTGGTTTAAATATCTTGGACATGTTTATTTTTAAATCAATTTTTTGATTTATATTTGTATGGTCTTAGTGCCTATGCACAGCCTGCACTTGTGTAATATCTGCTGTTATGGTAGGCTTCATCATATACCTGTTATTTCAGTTGCATGAGCACACAAACAAAACCCTTTGGCCTTGGCTCTGATGAAATCATCATCAAATTGAACCAATGAAATAAAAAGAGCATTGTCATCACCACCAGTAGCTATCAGGAAGTCGTCATCTGTATAAAAAAAAAGTGAAGCAATATATTACATACACATCCATCATCTTGCTTGCAAACTACTTTGTGCATATATATAGAGAGTCTAGCAACATTTATCTTAAAATGAATTTTGTTATGATTGTAATTGATAAAACACAGGTATATGCACAAGTTATGTATGCAGAGAAATAACAAATGAAATATTCCACACAAATGCTTTATGTTCACCTACAATGGGGTATTTATTCAATCTAAAAATCACTGGTTTGCATGCCTAAAAGGCTGTTTTTACTTCAAAAGAGTACTGTAAATTTCTTATTTTACACAACTACCTAATTTCACGAATTCACGAATTGACTGTTTATCTATCAGGAGAGTTTATATGTATTTCAGCAAAAATGAGAGTGAATAATTTTATTTTCCAAGTGGTGCTTCTTGCTAAATTATGTGATAATAAATTCCATGCACATTTAGAATTTACAGTAATTGATTATTATTTTATATGTTTTTTTTCAGTTCAGAATATGATATCTGTAATTCCTCTTTGTGAGTTACCTTTATAATGGAGCCAGTCCATTCCATTCACACCTGACTGATGGTGACGCAGGACAAAAACAGGCCTCATTTTTTCCATGTCTTCTTTCTCTACTGAATCTGTCTCCAAAGACCCTTTAGAATCTTCCTGTATGTGACCAGCATCATAAGAGTTTCCAGAACTATAATCACTGTACTGAGAGTACTGTAAGTCACTGCTTACTCTTTGTTCATCCTCACTATTACATGTTTTAGAGGTAGACATCACAGACTTTGCAGTATCACATTGCTCCCTGAGATTATCACTTATCTGGTTTCCTGTATCATTCTCTATGGAAGAGAAAGTCTTTTCCATATTTACTTTTTCTGGACTTGGTTCCAATTGTTTTTTAACAATGAGTGAGATATTTCCTTTATTTATTTTCCAGAATGCTATCTGACCATCAGTTGCAGCAGACAGTATGTAGAGTTCAGAGTCTGTTTTGCTCTTTCTTGTTAGAGGACACACTTTTAATACACAATGTTCATGAAAGACAGATTCTAAGAGAAGAAAAAGTTCTCTCTTTTCTTCATTAAAAATGTAAAACCTAAAAATATGAAAAGAATTCCAAGTCAAACATTTGAAGAGAGTGCCAGTTTTTAACTGGAACTTCCTCTCTCTCTCTCTCTCTCTCTCTTTGGTGTTTCATCATACTAATCCGAAAATGGTCATTGATTGTGATAAGGCACATGTAATATGCAAAGATCAAGTAGAAATTCCTTGAAAAAATACAGAAAAGTGCTATACTGAGAAATTTACAAAATCAATTTTAACACAGAGAAATTTATACAGAACATTTCTCTTTAAAGGTTAACTAAATTATCTTCCTGGTATACTAGAATCTGTATTATCAGGAATTGGGATTTTTACAGCATCTTGGGGTCTGGCATGATGGGATTCAGCAAATTACTTCTGTGGTATTTCAGTTATTTCAGTAACCTCAAGCAGGTACATGTACATGTTCATTTCCTAAGCACACACTTTATTTCATTTTGTGACTGAAGAATGCTTAAAGACACTCAATAAATGATTAATCTGTAGCACCAATGCATTTCTCAAAATTAAGAGTTTACCTAACAAAAGCATCTGAGCAGGCAGAAGCTAAGATATGCAAATGATCTGGAAATTCTGACCACACTCTGGTGAGTTGAACACTACTCAGGTCCATAAACCTAGTTTCTGGATTCAGATTTATCTGCTGTAATTTCCACATCCTGGTTCTTCCTTTTCTTTTTATCTGACCAATCATAAAGCTGCACAGATTCTCAGTTACTAAGGAGGTGGAGTTTTCTACTGTCAATCTCCATACCAACAACTGAGCTCTACCACCAGCAGAAAACATTAACATGGATTTCTGGTCATGTGACTGTTTGGAGGAGGGGCATAAACTGAGGGCCCGTACACTAGATATATGTTCATTCAGGTATTCTATGCAAGATATTTCTTTCACTGAATAATTGTTATCTTGCAAAAAATTAAGAATCATATATTTTCAGTAATGTTTGAAAAAAGAAACAATGATATTCAAATTATCAACAGAAAATAAATTACCTCTGCTCACAACTTTTCAGTTCACTTCATTAATTCAGAGACATAAAAAGTGCACGTCTTTTAGCAAATGTATAGGAAAATTCAAATCTTTCGATAATTTTTTAAAAGGATACATTTTAAAGTTGATATCTGAACACTTGTATCTTCACTTCCAGTCACAATAATACATCCATCTGTTTAAAAAGAACATTCATAATTTATTGTAATTTACATTGTAAATGTCACTTTACTGAAATGTTACAATCTGATTTACAATGAAGATCAGCTTCACAAGTTTTACAGCAAATCTTTTGACTATGTTTAGGGTAAACATTATTATTACATGTAGTAGACAAGTTTACATATAAACTTACCCTCTCTCACATCAAAGAATCTAACACAAGTTACCTCCCTTCCATGAAGAGCACTCTGCAGTAGAAAAAAAACAGATCTAAATTTATTATTTCAAAAATCCCAACCTTTTGTGCAGTATACACTTTATAATAAATAATTAAAATCTAAGCTTTTCCTGACTTTAACAATTATATTCTTCAATGAAATCAAATGTTGGAAAACTTTTTATATACAGTAACTAGTCTTACAATTCTTCACAATTAAGGATATTCATGTACAAATTAACCTAGTTTTACATGTACAAGTAATGAATATAATTTTCATGATTACACATATGCAAAAATAAATGAAGAGGTGTATATTTTTAGAGAACCTTGAGCTTCACTTGATTCTGTTGGAGTTTGGTGTCACATACAACCACTTCCCTTGTTTTCTGGTAAACAAATCTGAAGTTGTCTCCCTTGGTTTTGCAGTCCCATGACCTATGACCTCCACCACAAGGAATCTGTATGAGCTTCTGATTGCTGTTTACACTCCATAACACAAAGTCACTCTACAATATACTTCCAATATACATGCATGCACATCATGGAAAAAGTGATACAATCTTACACCCAGAAAATAATTTTGGACAAATTATTTAACTGTATCTTATAAGAAAGTTAGTATTATATTCACAAGTAAAAGTTCAATATATTACATGAATTAAAATCACTTACAGACTGAAATCCAAAGACAAAAAATTCAGCTCCTTCTTCCTCTATCTGAAGTCTGTCAATCCACTCAAAGCCCTTGTACACACGGTAGCTGTTTAATAAGGTCAAGTGACCAACATCATGGCTGAAAACTCTATAGCAACCATCTCTTCCTGTTGTGTAAACATTATCTCCATAGAAACAAATGCTTGACACTCCGGTTTTACCATGAATTTTTGGGAAACTTTGGGATGGACTCTTCTGTACAAATAATGAAATAGACTTAAAATCATTAAATATAGAACAATTTATTCAAAATTGAATGCAAATTTATTCTTCATAACAGCCATGCATCAAATCCAATCAAAGCAAGCAATGATTTTTGTACATATTGTTTGATTGTTAACTGAATTTGACCATGACATTTGAGATAAGCTGGAAAGAGATCTAAATTCCTTATGTAAACAGAAATAGACAGACAGACTGGGTGATTCCAGTATAACCCCGACCCAATGCCAGGGCACCACTCCCTGGCTTCCCATTCTATCCCAACCACCTTCTTCAACTTCATTTGCAGTCTGAGCTGGGGATGTAATTTCTGACTTAGATAGATAGACAGATGAAAAAAAGACACTTTCAATTCATGCACATTACTTTGATCTTCTGGCTAAGACCTGGAGTAGTGGTAATGTGTAATGATAATGCATAGTAATCATTGCATTTGCTCAAAATAATGGGATGTAATATGTAATGAAACCATATTTCAATTACAAGTAATTGTAATGTAATGCATTACTTTTATAAAACTGACAGTAATGACCAAGGGTTCTGGCTTATAATTACTGTAACTTACCCATTCACTACCCAGCTGAAACAAATGGATGGTACCCCCTCTATCCCCGCAGATCAGTGATCCGTGACCTACTGTAGCAGCTGACACCCACCTCTGTTTACACATAGGAAGAGTGTACTGACCACAACACTCCAGAATCATGGACACAACTTCAAAGTTCCATAGTTTCTGAAATATTTCAAAACACAAATACATATATCTAGTTATGACAAATTAATCTTCACATTGCAGGGCTTCAATATTTAATATCAAATCATAAGAAATTTCCAGAACTTTTCAGATGGTAAAATTTTTTCAGATCTTAAATTTCTAAGTGAAATTATATTGATTAATTGTAAATGCTGTGTATTTACGATTTCTCCATCTAGACCTGTGGTGAGGAGCTGGGTACCAGACAACCAATGGACACTCATTATTTTACCATCACATATCTTCCAGTCCTTGTAGCTCCAATCTGACTTACGTGAAGCATCTACAGTAGAATGTTAACAAAGTTTACATTTCTTACAACTAGATCACTTTGGCTTTTAAAGACTACAACAAAGTAGTTGTACATGTAATTCAAAGAATGAATTTGACACTGCACACACCCCTACATGTAAAAATCCTGAGTGTTCCATGGATATTTCCCAGTGCAACACATTTATGTTTGGTAGGAGCTACAGACATCACTGTGTAAGACCTGAATTCTGAATCATCTTGTAGTGTCTGCCATCTTTCCTCCTCAACATGATACAAGTACAAATACCTATCATGAAATTTACAAAAAAAAAAGCTAAAAAAAAAAAAAAATCAAGAGACTTTATAAAGTATGTGCTTATAAAAATTTTACAAGGAGTATATGTCACTCAATATTAGACATTACAGATTCATGTTACATGTATTTATAACATTTTTTTCAGTAAACTCATCCCTTTGTTTTGCAAACTTATTTATAATTACTAAACACCAAGTATATACTTGGACTTTACAATGTGATAAAGCACAGCAGCTTACCCTTCATTAGTAATGACGATAATCTCGTTGTGATTTAGCAGACCAACTGAGCGGGGGTAGTCATCTTCCTAAAATTGATTAAAAAAAAAAACCAACAACTCCTACAAAGTCATAATATTTCTGCAAACATGATTTTCAAAAAATTTATCTATATAGATGTTACATGCACAAGTAGATAGGACAGTAGACAAAGCTTCATGATTACATGTATTTACATGTAAAGTCCTGTTCTTGACTAGGGTTTTTAAAAACATCTTAATTGCATGGTTGCAGTGACCCATCTTTCCTTTGCAGATGACATTGAAAAATTAAATAATTCTTCATTGTGTTTAAAACTTAATATTTTTTCAGTTAGAGAGGTTTCCACAGTTATCCCCCTTGAGGATATACCTTTCCTCCAGATAGCATATGTGGAAGCTGGAGAGAGTGAGTTCTGTAATTTGACCTCTCTGACCTTGATGACAAAAACCAGAGACGAATACTTGCATCACCTCCTCCAGTCACCTACACAAAAGAATGATCAAATGAAACTCTAACTGTAAATTCTCAAGAATAGCAAATTTATTATAAAGTTTTTAAATGTCTTTTTTAAATAATTATGCCTTCATAATGAAATGCATACTCTGTTCTACTGATAGATATATATATCAATAAAAAGCTTATGAATTCCTTGAGCTGAGATTGATAGAGAGAATGAACAACTTAAATCATAGACAGAGTCATACCACAAATCTTTCCTTGTCATCCACAGTTAAACTCCATATACTTTTACCCTGCAATTAATCTAAATATTTTCAGCAAAAAACACACATTTATCAAAGGTATTAACACTGAAAAGCTATTCTAAAACAATATGTAATACAATATACACAGAACATTACCTTATGACCTTTAAACTTCTGAAGAATATCTCCTTTGTAATTCCAAACACAGCAAGTTGAGTCCTATAATTAATTATACTGTAGTAGTATTGAAAAAATGCTATTTCAGATTATATGATTTCCAGTTACTTGTCTTATACTGATACAATGTATATGACTTTAAGTCTGACACTTGTCTTGAAAAGGCAAACATTTTTATTATATTTCCAAATCTGAATGTTTTGCATATTCAATAAAACAAAACAAATTTATGGAAAAAAATCAACAAACAACTTGATTACTTAATGTGATAAAAAATTTCCGAGAAATAAAAATGTCCCTACCTCTCCAACACTGACCAGAGTTGAGGACAGTAGTCTGACATCCCACACTCTGGCTGAGTGACCATACAACACCCCTACACAAGAACAACTGCTGTTTTCCCATAATTCCAGGGGAGTCTCAACCTCACCAGGAGCAGAAGAGTTCTCAAATTTGAATTGCCAGAGTCGAATGCTGCGATCATCTGAAGCAGAGCACATCATCTGTTTCTGGTGGATATACTCCACAGAGAAAATAACACCCTGAAGGAAAAAAAATTAAAGATTTTACACCAAAATTAATAAACTGAAACATAAAGTGCTATACAAGTCTTTTATGCATATTTTAAGAACAAACCTTGTGTCCTTTTAAACTTTTTAAGACTGTCACATGTCCAGACTCTGACTTCTGACCTTTTGGGGCCCACAACAGTATTTCATTGAAAACAGTTCCAGCAGCCAAAATAAGGTGCTCCCAATTTGAATTGATGAACTTAGCACAATATCTTAATACATAAGATAAGGCACATTGTGTAAATGCATGTATAGTATTAAACTCATAAGAATTAGGATATAAAGAAATCATGGTGATAAAAAAAGTTACATATTTTCCCTATTTTTCACATCTTAACCCTTTTATATAGATACAGAGAATCTTTGTTTCAAGTAACTAAAATTTCATGTTCTCATGACTTCTTTATTAGCAATTTTACTGTAACTTTTATAAATAATTTACAATTTTATATACCATTTAATAAAAATCCATGGAAACTAAAGAGGTAGAGAACACGCACTGTGTTTACATGCAATGGATAAGGATACAATATACAGTTTTCTACACAGGTGACCTTCTCCACTATCAGTCTCTGTTTCCAGTCCCACCGGATTACAGTGTTATGTCCTAATGCCAAGGCCAAATTATCACTGTTCTCCTATTTAATAAACATGATAAAGAACAAGTCATAATCATGAAATAGGGTGAAAACTGTGGTGTAGGATGAAAACATCCCCTTACCTTTGACATAGGTTTATGACCTTGACCTTGCATGAATATTTGACCTATTACTTGAGCAAACATTAACACTGAGTAAGTCTCCATATCCCTTCATTTTGAAAGTTATTATCTAAATCATTTAATAATATTCATTATGTTAATCAAGTTTAAAAATCTAAACAGAAAAATGGATTGATGAAAAAAATCAGAGGAAGACAACATGGCTCTGGTTGTTGACCTTGTGGGTATAATAATCATAGGTCACAGATTTCCTGTCTGCTAGATACTGGGTAAATATTTTAATTCATAATTTCACAAAATTAATCTTCAATGATTTTACCAAACATGCTAAAAATGAAGACCTAATTTGTCACCAAGAGGTTCAAAATTAAAAAAAAAAAATCCCAAGGTTATGAAAAAATCAGGAGTGCAATACAAAGCAGTGTCTTCTGTCCCTAGGGGTCCATGATCACTTGAACCATATTTATAAAATATAAGCATAGAAATGTTGCAAAAGTTCATCATACAGTAATCACACAGAAATGTTATATACATGGGATTATTTCGAAATTTTAGTTGACTAACTTTGTCTAAAGACAATGCATCCCAAATCCAGTCTTCAAATTCTGTCAGGCCTGCTTTTGATGTCACACTGAAAGCATTGTTAGCAGTTTCATCATCAACTGCACTGCTCTGTGTTTTCTTTGCTGGTAGATGAAGGTCTATCATGGTAATGCTCTTTTCACCAAACACAGCCAGGGTAGGCAACTCTGTCTTACCTTTGAATGCTAGAAAAGGTAGAAACAATATATATTAATTAACATGTTTGAAATCATTCCAGTTACATGTATATCTACCTGGAAGATATATCTTCAATAGATTTGCATACACCTCACTTCCATGGGTCAGTTTTATTTTTCAACAAATAACACCTGCTAAGTAGCAATCATTAAAATTAAATTATAATTCAAATGTACTAAATGCATACCATTCCCTCCCCCCTTACCCCCTACCCCCCCCCCCCCCCCCCCAAAAAAAAAAAAAAAAAAAAAAAAAACTAAACAGCCTTTATGACACCAATGAATTCTCATTCAAAGGCATGGCAAAATTATATCCTGACTATGTAAAACCCAAATTAACATCTACGTAATACAGATCAAGTGATTTTCAAATGTCAGAATACCTGGGGTCTAAGTGATCAGCATTTTTAGTTTAGAAATCAACTTTTAATTACTATAAGTATGAATTATGTATGGAGATTAGAAAATGGTAATTTCAATTAAAATGAATAATTTTTATGAATGAAACTTTCAGCATTTTATCAAATTGTATCCTATATTTAATGATAAGTATAAAATGTGCCCTGGCCCTTCTATGTCTATTTACAACTGTACATGTATTTAAAAACAAACATGTAGGTAGTAAATTTACAAGTAAAATTGAATTTCAGTATCTCGAACACTGATATCTTGAATACCATGGATACGTCAAAGTGAATTGGAAGTCCCAACTACTTATTCTTTTAATACGTAAAGTCATATATGGCATATTTTTTTTTATAAGTTTAGACTAACTAAAATTAAAAAGATCTTTCTATTTGTTCTATTTATTTATTTCTCAAGCAGAGAGCTACAGTTCTGCAGCTAGTTATCTAGTACATGTACAACTATAGGTAAATCAAATACCACATATCTATCCTAAATTCTAATGAGACAAGTGGAATGCATTCATTTCAGAATTCTCAACCAGTAAGTACAATCTATTTACCTCTGATTCCATGAATACAACGACATGGCAACACCAAGTCACAGGATATACTTCTCTGTAGAGAAATATCGAAGGTGTGAAGATAGCTTCCTATTCCTATTAAAAATAAAATAACAGTATAAATCTTAAATCCCTTTCTCCTTCTTTTACACTCTAGCTCTGTCTTTCTGAATATTTCCTTGAACCCTTTCTAAATTCAACGGACTTAGGTCTTGATGGATAGCTAGAGGGTATCTAATCGGGTGATGATGAGCATGCATATCAAGTATATGTATTTCCCATTTTCACACAGGGGCTGACTAGTACCATTACCTGAAGTTTGGGGCAGATTTTTTTTGTAGTAGGGCAGGTCAATTTCCAGGTAAGGCATGTGCCTTTGGGCAAGTGAAGAGGACCAGTATCACCAGAACACTTCATATAATCAATTTTCCTTAGCAAGGTCTCGTCGAGTATAATGTATCCTGATTTTATGAGGACAAGCTTTAGTTTTAAATGCACTGTCAATGCTTAATTATCACTGCATCCAGGTCTGGTAAAAGGACCGTGTATGAGTTGAAAATTGACTTTTTTCCCAAAAATTAAGCTAAAAATTTCCAAACAACATGCAGATTGAATTTTTCAGTACTTTTTAATATTAAAATGTTTGAATTACCAGAATATAATGATTCATAAAGATCAAGTCCGGCACAATCTTCTGATTTAGCTATATAGCTTGATTTAGCTATATAGCTTCATCAAGCTATTCAGAATAGCTTGATGAAGCTATTTTATCACTTTTTTTCTAAAATGTGTTATTTTCTCAGCATGCACAGAAAATCACACCTTGGTGCAGTGATAATATTCAACCTTGAACTCTTCTGAAAATAACGCATGTAAAAATTACTTATCAAATTGCGTCTCCTTTTTTGAATAGCTTATTAAAGCTATATAGCTATTTCAAGCTATATAGTTTAATCAAGAGATTGTGCTGGACCTGAAGATGTGAGTAGGGAATAAGCCTACAATATATACCTGCCAAAACAAAGTTGTCTGTAATAATGTGCAAAGCGGTCACTGGACCTGTCATGAAATCGCACCGAATAGCTGATATGTGCTCCATGATCTCAACTGAAAGCTGAAAAGTCCTCCGCTAATATTGCAGCAACTGAGCAAGTTGAATGGCAGACAGCTTGCACTTGGCTACATAAACCTTGTCAACCGGGTATCATTTTACTTATCTAGGCATCCAGAGATGTGTGCTTTGTTTTACCCAGTACACCTGACCGATCGAAAAAAATTACCATAATTTCTTCTTTATTTTATCTAAAACAAACACACACACATTTGAAGTTGAGAGTGTTTTCACGTGTTGCTAAAACACTAAAATGATTATGACAATTTTACAAATGCTAAAATACGACAAATAAATTTCCGGATATTTCTATTATATATAAAAACAAACATTTTTCTCTATCTAAATTTTAAAACAATTATTTGACAACCTTTGAATTAAAACTTTTTGGATTAAGCTTTATTAAGTAAAGATCTAAATAATATTTTTATGGATACAGAGAGAAAAGAGTTGCAAAGCACATAAACTACCTAGACTTCCTGTAAAACTGAAAGTAGAATTTGTAAACAAACATTGAATATAGTGAGAATGTATAGTCGTGTCCCACCTATAACCTCTGGTTTGAACAAAGAAACAAAAAGCTTAAATGAGATAAATGCCGAAGAGAATAAGGGATCAAAAAACGAGGAAACTGAACCTGCCGCAAATGCAGCAAATAAGCCAAAGAATGTCAGATCGGATCTTTGGAATGTAAGTTTAAACCCCCAAACCTTCAAATATCTCAATGTGTATCATTTCTTTTATGGTGTTTCTTTACAATTACATTTGAAATACATCTGAAAAGATTTAAAATATAAGAATAAGCATTACTATTTTTTTTTTAATTTTAACAGAATGATGGTTACATGTACATGTACTTTCAGAAATTTAAGACTTTGGAGAAAAAGACTGATGAAGTTACCAAGAGATCAGCAGAGAAAAGAATAAAACATCTACAGAAGAATTTAATGCAGAAAAGTGTTTGCTTTACATAATTACAAATGAGAAATCCATTTAATATTTTAATTACACAAATTGATTAGACCTTATTATTATTTGTATTGATAATGCTTTTCCTTTAAGATTGCTCTGTACAATTTAAATGTTCTTAGTAAGTAAGTTTAAATTTTTGTTTATTGCTGGTTTTATTACTGTCACTAGTTCAAACAGAGATAACAGATGAGGGAGACAAAGATATTCTACGTCAACATGATGTGAAGTTTGGACCAGCTGTGAAGGATGATCCATGTTCCTCAAGAAAGAGAAAGCACCCTGCATGCGAAAAGTATGAAATCGGTATATACATGTATAATACAATAAGTTCCAGGTGTTTTATCAGTGGTTCTATGAGAAAGCCAGGCAGGGGGTCATACATGAGGTGTAACTCACTTGAATGAAATTTACACAAAAGACTCCTGCAAAATAGCGTATCATCACAAGAGAAAAGTTTTCTCAAAATTTTCATCATTGGGGCCCACCAAGGGGGTATCCCATAATGCACCAATTTCATCATAATGCTGTGTTTGCATTTTTTTGAAAAACTGCTATTTTCAACTACCATATTCTTGTGTTTACTAAAAAATTGAGACAACAAAAATTAGAATGAAAGAAAATATGTATTATTTATTTAATTTTGAACATATTTTTTCTTTCTTAAAAATCAGTATTTTATTTTAAAACAAGGGAAATAACTCTTGATATAGAAGTCATCGAAAAATACTCCAAAAAGGCTGATATTCAAGATATTTTAAAATTGGGTTTGGACACTTAAAATTTAAAATGTTATGGTTTAAGGTAAAGATTGTGAACTTAATAATCATTTCATACAAGAGGATAATCGGGTTTTGATTATTGTTGACACAGTGAATTTTTGAAATTGTAGCATTTTTTCAGAAAAATAACAAATTTTTAACAGAGTAATCTCCCTTTGTTTCATACTTTCATAGAATATATATCATGCAACTGCTAAATAAATAAATAATTCCACTAAATTTTTGTACAATTACTGAACATTTTGAAAAAAAAAAAAGGCTTTCCATATCTGGATAAAAAAATTATGTGCTACATTGTGCTACAATGTACATGTATATATATTAGTTAATTTTAAGTCTTATCGAATTCATCAGCATGGCTAGTTCTAAATCATGCATAAAAAGTTAAGACTCTTTCAAACTTTATCTGAAATTACTTTAAAGGCTTCTTGTACAAACGTGTCTTCATTAAAACAATATTACACAAATTTATGCCCTGATATTAATCAAGAGGTAAGCATGTCTTATACTTTTTAAAGCTGCATAAGATATTTGAGCAAATAATAATGTCTAAGTGTAGAATAACATATACTGTAAAGTAAATGATGTATAAGTCTGAAGTTTTTAATTAAATCTTTGTCTTAAAAATATTAAGAGTTGTCTCCCTTTTTTTTAATATTTCCACTAAAAGTTTTGTACAATTACTGAACATTTTGAAAAAAAAAATACTTTCAATACCTTTATAGAAAAAAAAATAAATTATGATCTACTTATGCTACAATGTACATATAAGTTAATTTTAAGTCTTATCGAATTCATCAGCATGGCTAGTTCTAAATCATGATACACTTTCAAACTTTATCTGAAATTACTTTAAAGGCTTCTTGTACATAATTGTCTTCAGTAAAATAATATTACACAAATTTATGCCTTGATCTTAATCAAGGGGCATGCATGACAGATACATAAAATATTTGTGCAAATAAAAATGTCTTCCAAGTCTAGAATAACATATATACTGTAAAGCAAATGAAGTACAGTCTTAGGTTTTAAGCAACATGTATCAATAAACATAGGTAATCACAGATTATGAAGCTCACTGCAACAAATAGGAATGGACTGTGACAGAGTTACTATAAAGATTTAAATCACAACTGACACATATCTGTTACAGAATTCACCATGTCATATGCTTCCATGGCATCCAGATCTTTTAGGACATCATTCAAATCTTCATCCTCCTCAGATTTGACTGTAAGTTCTAATTTTGGTCTTTCCTCTCTGTCGGAGCTTTCTTTTAGCAGTTTTATTTGGAACTCTGCAAAAAGACTGCGGACTTGTTGGGCTGTAATCCAATCATTTGGACTGAATACATGACTGCCATTTTCATCTCGTTCATTACGAATTTGTAAAGAGACAGACACAGGGTTTGCTTTTTTACCAGTTATTTCACCCTCATCAAAAACATTTTCACAAACTGTTTTACAGCCATTGAGAATCTTACAAATTTTCTGTCCGACTTTAAAGCCCATCCTGTTTTCAGCTGTGATGTTTGACTCTCAGAACTTACACTGGAAGCCTGCACGGAGTGAGACTGGTTGTAACATAAAGATTCATTACATTTTTCTGCCCACAATTCCATGGCTATATCTGTACAACTATTGACCTTATGGTAAGAATGATTTCCTACAGCCAAATGTTTTTCTAATGTTGATGGTTTTCTGAATGATCTTATACAGCCAGGTTCAGTGCAGGTAAGATCTCCATTGTCATTGTCCTCTTCATCAGAACGTTGAGATGCAAATGGAAGCTTCAACAGTCCTGTTTGTGTACATACTGGTATAATCGTGGAATCTTCTATGACCTTAAAAAAAATTATTGAATATATAATTATACTGTATAGACCATAATACACAAGTTCAAAGGTCTAAAGGAATTATGATGCACAGTCTGAAGTGATCATAATTTTACCTTCATTTTGGTCTCGTCAAAGGCAAGATTCTGAGATATTTTCTCCAGTGTGCTCCTTGGAATCAAGTGTCCTTGACCAATACCATAGGCTCTAAACACTCTGATGCCTTCTTCCTCAAACACAAAATTTTTCATCTGACTGATTTTGATGTTTCTGATAGTTCCTGACAAAACAGGCTGATTGTCTGTGCTGATATCAATCAATGTAATGAATGTATTTTTAACTCCTCCGTGACTTTCCAATGCTGTTTTCAGTTGATTTGCACTTTCCACATTGTTACCTTCATTAGCATACTTCAAAATGTGCATTCTGCATGTTCCAGTTCTTGAATCGCACAGGTCTTTGCCACTTTGGACCTCACTGAAATTGTATTCTCTTATTTTGAGCTGTAGAAAGTCATAATTCCTCCAAATGTAAGACATCAATGGCATGCTGTGGTAACATCCTGCATTGTCAGATTTTAAATACACCTCTGAGAGATGGGGGTTGAGACATTTCAGTTTTTCTAAGCTGTCTTTGAGAATACATGCAACTGAGAACCATCCTTGATTTCCTCCTTGTAGTACATGTACAAATGATACCAGGCTGAATTTGTTTTCCTGATTGTCTGCATTACCACTGGGATGTTTAAGGAATATTGCACATGTAACATGCCAGCTTATGCCCTGTTTTCCAAACCTGAGTTTTGCTGTGATTCACGGAAACTTTGCGGCAAGAATTTCATGGCCCAATCCACAATCAACAGTGCTTGGTTACTCTTCAAGTTTTCTATGATCTTGCATTTACTGCTATCCTGGTTTACAGCTTGTGTTATATGGGCTTTCCATTCTTGTATATTCTTTCTTGACTGTTCCAAAATCATGCTCCAATTCTCTCTGCAAGTCACTCGATAAATTTGCTGCTGATATACAACTTGAAATTTCATCAATAACTGTTGCAATACTACTACATTTTATGCAGATCTCAGTATGATGATGATCACAAATTTCCTTGAAATCTGAGTTTTTCTCATCTGATAGGGCATATGTTGAACAATGGTCAATACAAGTACTGGATTGTGTGACATGCATCTTCAGATCAAATTTAAGATGTTGATTCATGTCTGATAACTTTTCTATCAAGTTCTTTGTTATGTCTCTTGAAAGGCCATTTTCTTGTAGTTTATGCAGTATTTTCTGTAGCAACTCCACTGCTTCCATTCCATCTGCAGTATAACTGTCCAGTCCTTTCAAAGATTTTTTCTGCGATGCAGAGCACACCTTTATAATCTTGAACAATGTTGCCCTTGAAGGTGCCATTATCTCATTGTCTTCACAGAACATTTCATATGCATGGATAATTCTTGAGGCAATCATCATTCTAATCATTTTTGGAATTTTGATTTGTAATCCAGATGATAAATGAAGTGTCTTTGAACCATATCCGACCACTTGACAAATTGAAGGACTGCACAAAAACTCAACAAAATGCTGAATTCGACATTTGGAAAGTCTGACCCTTTTAATTTTTGGCTGATTAATAATTTGACCAGGACCATTTGTTGATGCATATTTTCTGGCACAATCTATTTTGTACTTTGTTAAACCAGGCACTAATTTACAAAGTTCAGTTTTCGAGAAGTTGTTCACAAATAATGATAGTATCTGTACTTGACTCTGGTGTCCATCAGCCTGATTATATGCTTTTATTAAGGCTTCTGTTAATGCATCAGTTTCTATCCTTTTCTCCTCTGACTTGTAATATTTCTGATATAACAAATGCATTAAAGCATTTTCTTGACAAGGTGCAATGCACTGAAATGCATACCGAACAACTTCATTAGCTTTCTGTGTCAAGTAGTCTTTTGTAGGCTGCTGTATGTCATCTAATGATGCATTCAGGGTGAAACGTAGGGGTGTAAATTTACCATCCGACAGTATCTCCATACTCCTGTTTAGTTTCTCTTGATTGTATGTGGGTGGTCTCCATTCGTCACTTACAGTTCCTTGGGATGACTGACTCAGAGAAAACTCTGAATTTTGACTGGATTGTTCTGAAAAAAAATGTTTTAATAATAGACATTGTAAATATTGGAGGCCACATAATTCTGACTATAATCACACTATTTATTAGTTATATAATAACATAGTTTATAGAGATTTTTAGTTCACCTGGGCCGAAGGCTCAAGTGAGCTTTTTTGATCGAAATTTGTCTGTTGCCTGTCATTATCATCATTAACTTTTCACAATTTCATCTTCTTCTCCAGAACCACTGGGCCAATTTCAACCAAACTTACCGCAAAGTATCCTTGGGTGAAAGGGATTCAGGTTTAACCCCCAGGGGAAGGGTGGGGCCACAATGGACGATCAAAGTTTTACATAGGAATATATAGGAAAAATCTTCAAATATCTTCTTCTCAAGAAGAACAACAAAGCCATGATTGGTCATTTTTATATGGAAGCATCCTCAGGTAGTGTAGATTCAGATTGTTCAAATCATGACCCCCAGGGGTAGGGTGGGACCACAATGAAAGTTCAAACTTATAGGAAAAAAAGCAACAGTTATCAAAGAAATATGTAATCATCCTTAGATAGTGTACATTCCAGTTTGTTCAAATCATCCCCCCTCTTGGGGTAGGTTGGGATCACTTATGCATTTAAGCTTTTCAATACTGAACTGATTTTTTGTTTCCTAGCCACAGTGCTCAGGTGAGCGATGTGACCCATAGGCTTCTTGTTTAAGATCTCAGATTTTGGAGCATTGAAATGACATAATTTTTCATATTTATATCTAAAATTTGATTCATCTGAAAACTTGTACCTCAGGGAAAGTTATGTGTATTGCAAATTTGCTTTAAATATCTTAACAAATTCACAGTTACTTTATACTGTAATTTGAGTAGTACATATACACTTTGATATCTACCTGACACACCATGCAAAGGACTTTCTTCTTCATGAACAATAGCAGGATTTTCTGAAAATAAATTAAATAATCATTAGTAATATATTGACTCCATTAACTGCTGGTGTTATGTATAATTGTATGAAAAACATGTCTAAATTAGATGGACAAATGGATCACAAAATGAATGCATAGATATCTTCCTTTTATGGTCAACTCTTTTTGTGTAAAATTTGAAATATGATGCAAAGTGTTTCAGTGAATAAACATTCAGCCAAACATGTGTTTTTCTCAAAAAGTAAGGTACTTCTGTACAAAATTTGAAAGTATAGTTAATGTTAAAACAGATTTATTGCATCACAACAAAAGTATTGATGGACAGACAGACAGACATACAATGTGTATCCTATAGGGCTCCCACATTTTCATGCTGTGTTCTTACTTAATGCTCCTTTAAGACAGTATTGCTCACTTCATGAAATTTGCTTGATTTGAAATTGAAGGTCCAATTTGTGTTCCAAATTTGAGTTCCACTTATAATTTTCAAATTAGAACTTCAAGTAGATTTAAATAGTGTAATGCATTTTCAATATGAGTTGCAAATATCTCAAGACAGGAAGAGACCATGCAATTCACTATTTTTGTTCCCCTTCCATTTTGCCCATGCATAGATACTATATTGAGGCCAAAAAAAATAATAGTCTTGTTTCCTGCTACCAGCCTGAAAAAAATAGGGTAGGTAGGTAGGAAAATTATTTTATTTTTTTATTTTATTTTATTTTTTCCCAACAGTATTTTTTGGATATAAACTAAAACAAAACCAAATTAAACATATCAGGTCAATATTATCTTTTAAAATTAAATTTCATGTCTTTCGATGCACAACTCAAGTGGTAGTTTAAGAAAGTCTATATTTAAAACATAGAATTTCATGAAATACCACTTGAATATACATTTTTTCAGTTTTGGAACACGAAATTCCTGATTTTTTTTCCAAAACTAAAAAAAAACTTTAGGGTCAGGTGCAAAAAAATAGGGTAGGTCGGGTAGCAGGAAACAAGACTATTATTTTTTTTTTTTTGGCCTGATTGAAATTTTAATTCAGTCATTTCACAGAAGAAGTTTAAAATGATCAAATGTACACGATCAAAATATGAGGGACAGTGATGGATGAATATAGATAGCAACATGTTACCTTAAAGTACGTAAACCAAAATACAGTATGTCACCTTCAATCTCTGAAGTGTGTTGTGAAACAGTTTGAACTACAACTGAACATTGTTCAATGTCACTATCTACTTTCTCTTCAGCATGTTCAATAATATCCATACCAAGCTTCATAAATTCAGCTGAAATAATATAAAATTAGCTAATAAGTTCATGCCAGCTAGTGTAACGATCAGTAATGAAAAGACAAAACTCATCTATTTTTTAGTAGTCTTACCCTAGCTTCTATTTTGATATATATTTAACATTATATTTCCATCCCATTTATTTTTCCTTTTTATACAGGAATGGTATTTATTATATATTTGCTATATAATACAGGATTTTTGCACCCCTTATATGAACACAGGCATGCGCCCGGTGTTGTTAGGGTGGGTATGAGTTGTGAAACTGCCTAAATGATTGTGTGATGGAAAGACCCCGCCCCCCCCCCCCCCCCCCCAATCTCCCTTCCCCTTATACTTCCACAGATTCATGGATCTGCATGTGTAGCATTGCTGACATTAATTACATAAAAAAAAAAGAGTTTCAAACATATAAAGTTCACTTATAAAGGGAAGCAAACTTAGTAAGATTTAATTGAAGAAGCGCTAGCAGGAATGAATTTACATGTACATGTACCTCTTGCAGGGGAAGTCAGTTGAAACAATCATGCTAAATGGTCTTCATAAGTGGATCGAGTTAACATTTTAGTGATTCTCTAAGAGTATATACCTATAACTATGTAGGGACATGCAATGATTTTTTTTCATATTTTATATATTTGAAAACCATACAGTTTATTTTGTAATCTTAATTATAACAGAGAACAAAAAGATGAACCGCAGAACAGTGAATGGAAGAGCATTAAAGGATTTCTGAATGTTAATGACCATCTTAAAAGCACAGATCCTGGAAAATATGGACCTAAGTGTTCATTAGAACAAAAAATTGATGAATCCATTAAAGAAGGCGACTTTAAAACAGCTGAGGAACTTAGTGATTATATGTCAACCAGAGAGGTATTGAACCACCTGAACTTCAAAACTTTCTTGAGGTTTCAATTTACACTTACATGTCTCAAAAAAGGCATAGGTGATTATCTTAGCAAGCCAAGATGTACAATTCATTCCTCTCATCTTTTCTGTGAAAAGAAAAAAAAAGAATTGCATGTTTATTTAATTTTGTACATTTAATTTTATATGCAGGGCTTTCAAAAAGATTAGAAACATTTGGTAATCTTTTACAAAAATAGGAGATGCCTTGTGAAAGCAATTTCAATTGAATATGTTATTGAATTTTTCTCCCATCAAATATTTTGGCCGGTTTAGTCATGATTTCAGCCGAGTAAAAGTACCATGTTCCAGCAGATTTTGAAAGGCCTGCTATATGTGTAGTAAAATGGAAATGTCTTCAACTTTTCTTTTATTGCAGTTTGGAAAAAAGATTGCAGATGCTATTGATGCAAAAAAATTTAGTCAGCAATTAGAGGTATAAACTGTCATTTCAGATTTTAATCAAATTTAAAATGTACCTCATCTGATTTTATAGGAAGATTGTTTAGCAGGGTTTTACTTTACTTTCCATTAAATATAATGTAATGTATGTTTCTTTACACAGGAGAAGAAAGAGTCAAACAAAGAAAAAAAGAAAAAGAAATTACCATGGGGGTATGTCAGTAGCTTAAAATGCAAAGAAAAATTGCATGTAAATAAGAATGAAGTGTTTCAGCAATATAAAACAACACACTGTCTAGTAAATGCAAACATGCAAAGAATATCATATTCTGCAGTTTAAAGTATCACATTATTAATTTTTTTTTTTTGGTGGGGGGGATTAAATTTTTTTATTTAATATAAAAAGAAAAACGATTGTATTTGACAGAATGTTTATCATTATGACAAAATTTCTTCATTTTTTGCTCACCTGAGCCGAAGGTTCAAGTGAGCTTTCCTGATCGAAGAGTGTCCGGCATCTGTCTGTCGTGTGTTGTCTGTAAACTTTTCTCATTTTTGAATTCTCTCAGGAACCACTGGGCCAGAAAAGATGAAACTTGTGTTCAAAGCTTCATTACATATTGTAGATTCAACAACAGGGGGCAGGGGAAAATTTTTACATAGGAATATGTAGGAAAAATCTTAAAAAATCTTCTCACGAACAGCAAAGCCGTTTGATCCCCTGTTGTGGACCTGCCCTACCCTCAGGGGTCATGATTTGAACAAACTTTAATATACACTAATGTGAGGATGCCTTTAGATAAATATGATAAAAAATGGCTTTGCACGCTACTAGATAATTTGATTATTGTGGGACTTTGCCTTATTTAAAGATAACATTTGCTGAGGTGAGCTCTGTAATCTTTGTTCACCGATGTACAATTCTTTTTTTATTTTCAGGTTTGAGCATAAACAAAGATGGGAAACAAAATCTGCGATGTAGTTGGACCTCAGTTTACCTCATATGTGATGTTCATGTTTTTTATTCTTTCAATAAAATTATATTGATGCTTAAATTTTATTTTTCTATTTTAGAGCAGTTGAAGACCTATTATCATTTTATTAATTTAGCGGGATATTTTAGAGGGGTGTTAATTTTGGCTTATTTTAGCATTTTAGTAGGAGTGCACTAAAATATTCATTTTTTTTAATGTTTTTTGGCAAAGTCATAAAACCATGTCTCCGCTAAAATATACTCCACTAAAATAATGAAAATTATTGGCATATCTTTGAGCAAGCAAAACCAAATTTTACACCTGCCAAGAAAAACCTGCTACATGTATATACAAATCTTGCAGTTATATTTTGTAGCACTATAAGCATGTGCAACAGTTAAAAAAAATGAGAGGATGGCAGACAGTGTAGCGTGTACAGTGCTCACTTTAGTCCCCTTTCTCTTCTGTGTAGAGACTGTAGACGTATTCAGCCCATGTTGTAACCATCAAGTTACGATCAAGTCTAGGACTTCAGTAAATTGGGTTTGATGACAGATTTACAAATTGCAGTCTTGTTTAAGCTTCTTGCAGAAGTTTACATACATATACTAGAATACAAGTGTATCTCCAAGTAACATAAATCTTAGCTACCCTATTGCTGTCCCACTATAGCCCAAGTTGGCCAAGTTTCACATTCCTTAGATATGCATCCATCCAACAAGATATTGAAGAACAAGCTCAGATTTGTTTTTAATTTTCTTTATTGACAAAATGATATGTAACTTATTCATCCAGCTCCAGTGATAAATTACACCAAATGTTAACAACTACATACATGTACATGTATATAACTAAAAATATAACATGTATAAGTTTATTGGTTATAACTTCAAAAGTTCATAATGTATCTAAATAATAAAGGTTAATTTATTGTTTATAAAATGATAATGTTCTTGACTCAAATATGAAAGACAAAACCTTAGGTTTAGATTTTGATATGAAAAAGCAGAGACATTTAATACACATATAATTATATATATATATTTAATATCCACCAAGGCAGCACTTACTGAAAATCATATTTTCTGTATTGTTAAAAATGTACACTACAGACAATTTACGTAGGTACTACAATTCTTCGTGTATTTTTCAAATGAATTAATATACCCGGTACTGAAATTGTGTGTGTATTAATCATGTTAATGCTACATGTATTTTTGTTGGGCAAAAGTAAACCTTCTAGACTAATCTAGAGTGTAAAGTGTACAGAATCCAATTTTGCCTGCATGTTCCTTGCATAAATTATTAGAATAACTTGTATGAATACAAAATTGATATATCTGAGATTTGCTTTGTGCTCCATAATGAGTTCTCATTTAGGACATGATCAAAGATCTGACTAGTTGATTGTACAGGTAAAAGTAAATTTCAATTCATTTTTTAAAGATCAATTTCATTAATATCCTTGATGACAATGTAGTCTTTCAGAAGTTTTGGCACAGGTAATTTCTCAACTCCATAATACACATTACAATTTCCAAGAAAACTACGGCGAATCTTTAATCGACAATAATGCATAAGTCTCTGTGGTTGTTTGTTAAAGTTGTTCAACCAGGCATGAAAATTTTTATCACTTTCAACAGGTGAGTTCAAGAAATATTGTTTCTCATCCTGGCTGAACCGGTAACCACTTATAGCCATGGTGCGTAGACTTCCATACATATTTTTGCTTTTACACAAGAAAAATAAATTACTTTTCAGGTTGTTTCTACATCTTTCTAAATCTGGAGTGGCCTTTATTAACACAGAAATCATTGTATCATTAGAGCCGTTCCACACATTTACTGCATTGTTCATCTGCATCCATACTGGGTCAATGCTCATCATCAATTTGTTGACTCGCAAGAGAATTTCTGCACATCTGGCCTGATTTCTTCTGAGAGCAATGTAAAGTGGTGTTAGGTTGAAATGATTAGTCTTCTCGGGATCTGCATTGTATTTCAACAAAGTCTCCACACAGAGAAAGTATCCATTGTGAGCCGCCATATGCAGGGCGCAGTTTCCTCCCTGTGACTGTATCTCAGTGTTTGGGTCCACCCCACTTTCTAAGACTTCTTTTAGCTCCTTGACATTGTTCTCCAGGACAGCTAGTTCTAATTTTTTAAGAGGAGATGATTTCTTTTTAATCAGATTTAAGAGATCCATTCTCCTACAGTACTGCTACACAATTTTTGGAACTTGAAAACAACACAATAAATTTACAAAATGTTGGCACTGTTATACAGTATAGATCACCATTTACACAGTCATCCTTTATATAGAATCCAAAGAGCAAAGAAAAACGGATTAGAAAAAATCCTTTGAAACAGAAAAATGTTTAGACGTAGTTGTCTTTGTCACAATATCTGATATCATATCCGATATGGGAGGTATAATATTTACATGACGATATTTTATTTACCAAAATAGTTCTACATCCGGTTTCAGTATTGTGGACAATTTGATCTGTAAAATTTCGATCTTAACGTTTCACGTAAATGGCCGCTCTGGAGATTCATTCATCATTTTTAGTTTAAAATTTTTAATCCTGGCTTTGAGGTGTAGAAAATATTGCTTCACTTGAAAAACATATTTTATTTGTGATAAAAGTATACAGGAACAAGTACTAGCACGGTGCTGTAAAAGACGACTTAATTTATTGTCAAGATCCCCCTCCCCCATATTTACGTCAAACATGATCAGTAAACCAAAGAAGAAAATTTATTAGCCTGGTACCGTTACATCTATTCCATCAGCGTGCTGTAAACTACAAAAAGAAAGGAAAAATGAAATGAAAAGAATTAGGTCTAAAACAAAAATTAATAGATAGACTAGTAGACTAATTGTTCTCGAACAATTAGAGGTCTTTCCACCTTTAAATTTCATATATTCTTCATATTTAACTCTCTACTCTTTATTTTTATACAAAAGAAACCAGAAATGGCTTGAGAGATGGAAAAAATGAAAAATTAAAAATTTTGAAATGACCTTGACCTTTGACCTTGAACAAATATTCAAGGTCAAAGGCCAAGGGTCACATTACAATTAACCCCATGCTTCTACCACTTTTAGCTTTAAAGTTATAAGGTTTACTAATAAGCGCAAAGACGTTAAAGGGCGATAACTCATATAAGGGGTCACCGGATACTTTTGCACTGAATAGACTGAAGTTGTGTCTAAAGTCCCTGAGTACATTAGTGAAGGTTTCGTGTCTCTGCGGTTTATGGTTTCGGAGGAGTAGCGATAACAAGGTTTTTCGCACAAGGGGCAATAACTTTTAAAAGGGTTAAGCTTAGGGGACAAGATTGAAATCTTTGAAATAGTTTTAAAAGTACATATAAAAGATGCAAAGATATACTGTATATGTTGAAAGACAAAAGAGCTGTAAAAAGAGCTTAATTTCTCATTTTTGGAATGACCTTGACCTTTGACCTTTGCTTATATTTTAAGGTCAAAGGTCAATGAATCATATACAGTTGGTCCCATGTCTCTACGACTTATCGTTTTGAAAATTTTTAATTATTCGTAAACATCAAAGACTTTCAGGGGCAATAACTCATAAAAGGGGTCGACGAATACTTTCGCAATGAAAAGATTGAAGAGTCCTCTCAAGTAGTCCAAGACATTGGTAAAGGTTTCGTACCTCTACGGTTTACGGTTTCGAAGGAGTAGCGATAACAAGGTTTTTCGTACAAGGGGCAAGAACTCCGAAAGGGGTCATAGGTCATACTCGTTGGGTAGTTTTTCGAAATAACTTTTGATGTCGAGTATCATGAACTATAAAGTTTTTCGATAAGTCTTTCGGTTCAAAAGGCCGTAGCGGAAAAATAATAATAATAATAATAATAACTAGTAGACTAATTGTTCTCGAACAATTAGAGGTCTTTCCACCTTCTTTGAATTTCATATATTTTTCATATTTTACTCTCTAAATTTAATTTTTATACAAAAAGAATCCATAAATGGCTTGAAGATAGAAAAAATGAAAATTTAAAAAAAAATTGAAATGACCTTGACCTTTGACCTTGAACAAATATTCCAGGTCAAAGGTCAGGGGTCACATTGCACTTGACCCCATGCTTCTACGATGTTTAGTTTTAAAGTTATGAGGTTTAATAATAAGCACAAAGACGTTAAAGGGCAATAACTCATATAAGGGGTCATCGGATACTTTCGCACTGAATAGATTGAAGTTGTGTCTAAAGACCCTGAAGACATTAGTGAAGGTTTTGTGCCTCTACGGTTTACGGTTACGGAGGAGTAGCGATAACAAGGTTTTCAGTAAAAGGGGCAATAACTTTTAAAGGGGTAAATCTTAGGGGACAAGTATGAAATCTTTGAAATAGTTTTAAGAGGACATATTAATGATGCAAAGATATTTAGGATATGTTGAAAGACAAAAGAGCTATAAAAAGAGCTTAATTTCTCATATTTTGAATGACCTTGACCTTTGACCTTTGCATATATTTTAAGGTCAAAGGTCAATGAATCTTATGCAGTTGGTCCCATGTCTCTACGACTTATCGTTTTGAAAATTTTTAATTATTCCTAAGTTTCATCAACTTTCAGGGGCAATAACTCATAAAAGGGGTTGACGAATACTTTCGCAATGAAAAGATTGAAGAGTCCCCTCAATTAGTCGAAGACATTGGTGAAGGTTCCGTACCTCTATGGTTTATGGTTTCAAAGGAGTAGCGATAACAAGCTATTCTTGCGAAAGGGGCAATAACTTCGTAAGAGGTCATAGGTCAAACACGGGGGGTCGTTTTTCGGAATAACTTTTGATATCCAGTATCATGAACTATAAAGTATTTCGATAAGTCTTGCGGTTTCAAAAGTCCGGGAAGAAAAAGAAGAAGAAGAATAATAACTAGTAAACTAATTGTTCAGAGAACAATTAGAGGTCTTTCCACCTTTTTAAGTGTTTCCGTGTCATTTGGGCTGAAAAAAAATGAAGAAAAATGCAATAAATGCAACAGAAAAAAAAAAAAAAAAAAAAAAAAAAAAAAAAATGCTCCTCCAGCTGGGCTCGAACTCAAAACCCTTGGGTTGAAAGGCAGGTGCGCTAACCATTCGGCCACGCTTTCCGATAACATACGTAAGTTAATTGTTTAAGACTATAGAAGAAATGCAAGCGTATTTTTGGAATCGGTAGGGGAAGAAAGAAGTTCCGTAAAAGGAAATAGTTCCTGAATTTGCAAGCAGTATATGGAATAGTAAGGGACGGGCTGCGTGAGAAAACGTTAACACTGTTCCCTAATGAAAATGTATTAATGGACTGTAGCCCGATTCATCGATATTGTGAGCATGCTGAATTTTTTGTAAATAGCTTCGTTGTAAGCTTAAAAGATCGGGTTCGGATTTTAACATTTCTGACTGAATATCCTGAAATAAATATGAAACATTTAAATAAGCATTTCTTTGGGTTTAATTAAATATGTGTAGCCCAAATTAAATTCCCAACATTCAGTTTTAGAAGGGAAAGACGACAATGAAAGCGAGAATAGTTTTTAATATACCGAAAATCGCTATTTCTGGAAACTGATTAATTCTAAATAAAAATCAAATAAATTCCAAATGTAACAGAAAGAGAGAATGCTTGGTATTAAAATGTCGTATCATATCAGGAGAATTAAATGCTACTAACGACATCTGAAGAAATAGCCGATAAAAGGTTTAGATCATTTCTTCGTTCACCTGCACTTAAATTTCAAACACAACAGAACTTGTAGTTTTTGCCGTGAAACTTCAAGACTTCTATAAACTTATATGACTCACCGTAAAACTCTCCAGAAAGTTTCTCTGAGGTTTATACTACATTTGTACCAAATTTGGTGTCGATCCGAGGTCTGGTTTGAATTCTAGAGTAATATTCTACATTGTTGTTGATGTGATTTTTTTTTTTTTTAAAGAAGGGGGGGGTGAATTATTTATTTTATGCCTCTTTTACACTAAGAATTGTAACTACTTCCACATCCTTAAGCCTTATTGTGACCTTTGAGTCAAGGTCAAAGGTCAAGGGTCAAGGTCATTCAAAAAAAAAAAAGAAAAAAAAAAAGAAAGAAATCTTTACTTTCTGTCTTTTTACCAGATACTGGAGCTGGATGCATGTCCTAGCTTTTCTATTTGACCCAATGTCAAAGGTCAAGGTCAAAGGTCAAGGTCAAAGGTCAAGGTCATTTGGTGAATTGCTATATTTTACACATATATAAAGGATTTCTTATGTTTTTAAATGACCTTGACCTTTGACCTTGACCAATATTTCAAGGTCAAAGGTCGAACATGCCCATGCAGTTGATCCCATGTCTCTAGGATACACCGTTTTAAAAAAAAGTTCATTAAATGTAAGCAGCGTAAACTTTCAGGGGCAGTAACTCATACAAGGGACCAAAGAATGCTTTCGCAATGATAGAATGAAGAGAGTACTAAATGAGTCGAAGACACTGATGAAGGTTTGGAATCTCTACGGTTTACGGTTTCGGAGGAGTAGCGATAACAAGGTTTTGTTGCACAAGGGGTGACAACTTTTGAATGGGTCAAGCTCGGGGGACAAGAATGAAATCTTTGAAATAGTTTTAGAAGGACATATTACAGATGCAAAGATATTCAGTATATGTTGAAAGACAAAAGAGATATTAAAAAAGCTAATTTTCTCATATTTTGAATGACCTTGACCTTTGACCTTTACAAAAAATTCAAGGTCAGAGGTCACAAAATCTAATGCAGTTGGTCCCAAATCTTTACGACTTATCGTTTAGAGAATTTTGTCATTATTCGTAAACATCAAAAACTCTCAGGGGCAGTAATTTATCAAAGGGCTCGACAAATCGTTTCGCAATGAAAAGATTGAAAAGTCCTCTCAAGTAGTCGAAAACATTGGTGAAGGTTCTGTACCTCTACGGTTTATGGTTTCGAAGGAGTAGCGATAACAGGCTATTCTTGCGAAAGGGGCAATAACTTCGTAAGAGGTCATGGGTCAAACACGGGGGGTCGTTTTTTGAAATAACTTTTAATGTCCAGTATCATGAACTATAAAGTTTTTCGATAAGTCTTGTGGTTTCAAAAGTCCGGGAAGAAAAAAAATAATAATAATAAACATAAGCATTTCAAGAGGTCTTTCCACAGAAAGGTGGAAAGACCTAACTAGGAGACTAATTGTTCAGAGAACAATTAGAGGCCTTTCCACCTTTTTAAGTGTTTCCATGTCATTTGGGCTGAAAAAAAGGAGAAAAATGCAAAAAATGGAAAAAAAAAAAAAAAAAAAATGCTCCTCCAGCTGGGATCGAACTCAAAACCCTTGGATTGAAAGGCAGGTGCGCTAACCATTCGGCCACGCATTCCGATAACATACGTAAGTTAATTGTTTAAGACTATAGAAGAAATG